CTGGCTCATTCTAAGGTTACAGGATTATAGGGACAAGTTTTTAGGGAGAGACAAATTGACAAGAAGTATTTCAAATCCCTTTGATGTATCATGTACTTAACACCCGTAAATCCATGAGCCCTGACGGGATGCACTCAGGGGTGCTGAGGGAGCTGGGAGATGTAATTGCTAAGCTACTCTCCAGGGAAAACGTTAACCATATATGAATGCAACACTGTGTTTCCATAACAAAGTCAGAAGAAGGGAAAGATGAGTTTGGTGAGTTTGAGGTGACATCAGATGAGGGAGAGTGAAAAAGGCATCTAGTAGAGACTACGGGACTTGATCCTTTCAGAGGTTACTTTTGGACATTCCACTGTTTCTCTGGCCTTTAAGAAGATGGCAATTTTTAGGAAGAAAGCTCAATATTGCTTTTAATGTCCTGATGTAGTCAGAAATGTTTTGGGGACTTTTTGTCTTTTGACAAGGCTTTTTGTGCTTGCACACTTAAATGCTCCTGTTTGATGAAAGAATACAGCTGTGGAATCAAACATGAAACTCAGGTTGTAAGAGAGTTTGTGCTCAATTTTCAGAAACGATGCCTCCAACAAATAGATGAACTTTAAACATTAGTTCAGATTTGTTGATATTAAGAGCAAACCATATTGGTTGTTATTTTAAAGACAGAGTTTTTAAATCATATTCTTAAGATCATAAAATTTTACTGGGCTATTTGATGATGATCAGAGGGCTGGAGGACCTCTCCTGTGAAGACTGGTTGAGAAATCTGTGGGTATTCAGCCTGGAAAAAGAAGGCTCTGGAGAGATCTTATAGCAACCTGCCAGTACCTAAGGAGGTATAAAAGAAAGCTGGAGAGGGACTTTTCGGAAGGTCATGGGTGATAGGACAAGAGGCAATGGCTTTAAACACAAACAGAGTAGGTTTAGATTAGGTATTAAGAAGAAATTCTTTACAAGTTGCCCAGAGAAGCTGTGGATGCCCTATCCCTGGAAGTGTTCAAGGGATGCATGGGGATGCATGTTCAAGTGTTCAAGGCTGCATGGGGCTTTGAGCAAACTGGTCTAGTGGAATGTGCCTCACCCATGGCAGGGGGTTTGGAGTTAAAAGATATTTAAGATTCTTTCCAACGGAAACGGTTGCAAACCGTTCTGTGATTCTATAGTTCATAACAAGGTATCTCAAAGTAATTGTTGCACTAACTGTACAACATTAGATAAGACAGAGATATTACTCCTGACCTCGTGTAAACCTGATAACCTACAAATTTATTGCTTCAGGGAAGTAGTTTTGAACGTTAGTCAGGGTCACTGACTAGTCGCATTTGCTTTCATTTCTTTAAAAGGCGTTAGCAATTTCGTCATGATTTAGCATGTATGTTTGGATAAGAAACCACACAGAATCCTATATAAACTACTTCCAGAGACTCAGCCTATTACTCCACCCTGCTGGGATGTTATAAGGTAAGAGCTCCATGGCTCACTGGATAACTCTCTAGATGCCAAAGACATGTTTTATGTTATGATTGGAAAGTCCTTATTTTTCTATTATTTGCTATTTGAGTGCTAACTTAAGAACAGTGCTTAAAAGTACCTTTGTGATAAAAGCATCTTTGTTGGGCTTTGCAGCTTTAGCTTATCAATTACATTAAAATAAGAAATAATAGAATCATAGAAATCATAGACAATTTTGAAAGAACCAAAAGGAAACAATTGTTATAGCATTTCAGAATTTGTATTATTGGTAAAATAGAATTTACTCCTAGAGAACCAGATTCTGGTCTCCTTATTCTTGCTAGGTGTCTTTTTCAGTCTTAGTTAATGGATCTGGGAAGTAAATTTTTCAAAGTGTGAATCTGAGCAGTTATTCTTAATTTCACCTTTCAAAACAAACCTCTAAGAAATGATAACTGAATAATACGTGGGGCTGTCAAACAGTCTCATCTTTGCTTCATTGCTGTCAGTCAGTGACTGAGAAGGGCTCTTTGGGATGTTCTGTGGTATGACTGAGGTGAGAATCTATCCCACTGCCAAGAATCCCCCCCAAAACCTTTCAAAAGGCATCTTCTCCTCTTTGTGAGTTGAAGCAACTCCAGGAAAACTTGTATCATCTGAGGTGGGCATCCTAGTGAGTTCTAATTGGTTCAGTTGAGCTGATTTTTATCTGACAAGTTCCTTTCCCAGAATTAAGGAAAAATAATCATCTGTCAATTCTACACTGAGGTATTTAATTTGATCCCAAAGAATTATTTTTTTTTGCCATCTAATTGGTTGAAAAAATTCATGTATTATTGTGAGTCGTTTTGCAACAAAAATCTTTCCCTGTGGAGCTGCAAATGAGCTGAAAGCCAGTTACTTGTATGGCTGTAGTGAGGCTACCTGGAGACTGTGCATTGTCAGGAACAGTGAGATCATGTGGCTCTCACTGTGGTCTGTGGGGGTCAACCTGTGCCTGCAGATGAAGCTGCTTTAGACAAAAGCTAGGCAACCTTGGGATCCAGGGAATGAGGTGTTGCTTTCCAGGCACTTTTCCGGAGCGTGGAAGATGCACCTTTTGTTCCTTCAGCAGCTTGGTGTTGGTTGCCTGTTTACATGGTCTGGTTTAAAGTGGTAATTTGCAGAGTCTGTGTGGGAGATGTGCTTTGTGAATAGGATAGAGACCATAGAGCTGAAAGTCTGACTTGGCCAATGCACTGTCCACTTCTGTAGAGAAGAAGAAATGCAGAACTAATCTAAGGAAAGGCTCAAGAGCAGATCAACTGGCAGGAGTAGCAGAGGTTAAACAGTAAAAAGGAAGTGTCTGTCAATGAGGGAGTTTGGGGAATTAAACGGGGATTTTCCTCTGAGGGGAGGGACAGCAAGAAAAATACAGCACAGCTCCGGACCCCTGTGGGGAGTGTCGTTGTCATCACAACCAACAATAGCTCATTCAAGATGAATGAAGCTTTGAACAAGTGTAAGTGGTATATGTGTTTGTGAGAAGTTCACCTTTTAAGCTAAGATTTATGTAATGGGAAATGCATAATTGTTTGATCTGACTGACACTGCACCTATATTGTGCAGCGCAGAAGATGGAGATTGAGACTGCAGACGAAGTTGCTATTGTTGGAATAGGATGCAACTTTCCTGGAGGTAAGTTTGGGGTAAAAGCAAAGCTGGCTGTGAGTGAACATGGAAAAGCAGAGTTATTTATTAGTGTTGAAATGGAGGAAAACAACATGTTCCTCCCTTAGTAGAATGTGTTGCTTTTCTACTTGTAGGATGTTTTTAAAAGGTCGTGCTGTGGTGGAAACTAGTTGGTTCAAATTAGTCTGCTGACAGACAGACAGACAGACAGACCGACCGACCGATGTGCAGTGCTGGCAGTGGGCGGGGCATTGAGCTGCACACAAAACTCCTACAAAGGAACTGGATGGGTCTGGGATGATTTGAACTTTCTGCAGGGGCACTGTCTGGGGGCCTGTGCATTGGTGCAGGACTCTGCATCCATAGGGACAGGACAGATCGAGGGCCAGACAGTATCACCAGCTGTGCCTGTAATATGGATAGGTTGGGTTTTCCTAAAAGAAAACTTCCTGCTTTGTTGCAGTATGTACTGTGGGTGCAGTGAGACAGTAGGGAAATGGGGAGAGAAGGTGGTTAAGGATTTTGTGGGGTTCCTTTGCTTTTAGACAAACAGTGAAGGGACCAGTCATGCTTTTCAATTTCCTCTCACTAAAGAATGATCTGTTCTTTCTCTGGCAATTCTATGTAAGCAACCAGATTTACCTGTGGGAGTTCCTTGTAGCTGATTGTGCATTTCTGAGTCTGCAAGGGGAGGGGGAGCCCATAATTTAATCTATTTTAAAAACTTTGTACAACAGGAGATGGAATTGATAGTTTCTGGAAAGTGCTGGAGGAAGGCAAAAACTGCACAGTGGAAATCCCCCCTGAGAGATTTAATGCCAAAGAGTGGTATGATCCAGATGATAACAAGCCAGGAAAAATATGTACAACGCGAGCTGCTCTTCTCGATGAGTGAGTCTGCTACTGCCCTGTGCCACTGATTTTTGTTGTACTTAGACTATGGGTACAGCTGTTCAGAGGCTGTGACTGATGTGAAGAATAGCAAATTATTATGGTCAACAGATTTGTCTTTTATTTGAATTCTACATTCACCTTAAATGCTCAGGCTGCAGACCTTTAATGAAATGAGAAGTTGACATGCCCAAAAAAAATCTTATTGGCTTCTGGGATTAACACTCGGTAGGGTTGAATTGTAGGGCACAGAATTCCTTCAGTGATTAGTCCCATGTTAGATATTGAATTCTGCACTGAAATCAAGGGATGATAGAAGGCCACACAAATGTGATCTTGGGGTACAAGACCAAGGTTGGACTTGGTCTTTTGTAAGCGTGGGCCTACTCTGAAGATGTTTGTAAAGAAACACATACACACAAAGTATTTGGAATTTGCTGTTAGAGAAGTAGGGGTATCTCTTGGAAACACTTGAGCTGATGCTCTAGCTATTGGTTGTAAACTGTAAAGCATGGGTCTGTATTGGCTTAAAATAGGGTAAAAGACAATATTTGTTTATAACTCCTTGGCTAAGACCACATTACAGGAGAGGGAGACTCATTCTGCACATTTCATAATCTGAGGAGTCCTGTTGGTACTAGTGGAATAACCATGCAAATAAAAATGTCTAGGAGTGGGCTCTTACCTCTGCAATGCATAATCATTGATAAAAACACATCTTCTGTGGTGGGACATCAAACATCCTTGGCCTAGACACATTTTTTCCTAAATTTCATAAATGGGGATTGTGGCCTAAACAACAGTTGTTGCTTTGCTTTTTGTGAAATTGCAAAAAATGTGTACTGTGAGTCTAGAAGGAAATATATATTGTACTATTTTCTGGTCTGTGCATTTTAGATTTAATTCCTTTGACAACCACCTGTTTGGGATTAATAACATGGAAGCTGAACGCATGGATCCTCAGCAGAAGTTACTGATAGAATGCACATACAAAGCCCTGGAGGATGCAGGAGTCCCTGTAGAAGCTGTCAGTGGCACCAAAACAGGTGTTTTTGTTGGTAAGATGAAAATTTCATGTCAAAGAAAGTGTGTTGGAGCCTCCCAAAGACTGGAGCACTCCTTCATAAACTTTCCAGATATGTCCAGCACTGGAGATCTAAGGCTACTGTGCTATGGTACTCCTGGTTATCTTTGGAGAGAATTACTAGGCTCTAGAAGTTCATGATACAATTCCTGTATCTCTTTTAGGTGCTCCTCTTCTTGTCTTCAAGTACTGAAGTGCAAGCAGGAAACAATTAAACTGCCTCCCCAACCCTTTCCAAGAATGATACTCCCAAGCCAGGCTGTGATGTCCCACCCTTAAGGGGAAGGGAACACCCAAGATTCATAAATGCTCCAGTCTGCAAAAAATCACAGTTTTATTAGTAAATTACAAAGCTGGCATGGCAATTGGTATGTCAGTCCCTGACCTACTATATAAGGACATGGCAGTGGTTTTGGTTAAAGGGTAGGGTGAAAGTGAAGAGAGAAAGGAAGAGGTGAGTTAAAGAGGGGAAGAGAGAAAGAGAGAGAGAAAGAGAGCAAAAGAAAGAAAGAATGAAAGGAAGGAAGAAAGAAAAAGAAAGAAAGAAAGAAAGAAAGA